ATTTTTCTATATTGGGTTTACAAAAGAGGCTTGTTTAAGTTTTTAAGAACTTTTTGAGAGGAGACAAAGAAAAAATGAAAAGAAATCAAGTTCTAGGACATTATTTGAAGGGACTAAAGATTAAGATTGTTAGAAATAAAAGGAAGGAATATAAAGTCAGTTTATTTGATCAAGGTTAAAATAGGTATGTTGTTATCTCTGGTAACTCTTAATGGACTTTTGCTGATATCAGGACTGAAATGATGATACTTTATGGATTTGTTTATAGATAAGAGATAGGATATGGGAAGAAGAGATCATTTGTATTTTAAGAGGAGGTGGCAAGTTATTAAAATTGTTTATACTTGTGAAGAAGGTGGGAAGTCACTTCTTTATATATTTCTTTATTTTTTCCTTACTATATTCTTACTTTTCTTTCTTTTCTCTTTCTCTTTCCTTTCTGTACCTTCTATTCTTTCTTTTTATTCTATCTTTTTTTAGTTTGTATGTTTTTACTGTTGTAATTATAATCTTTAATAAAATTACTATTAGAAAAGAAAAGAATGAGGAACAAGGGCAGGAACCCACCAACTCTGCACTAGCTGAACAGAGGGAGTACTCAGTACACGGTCTGGGAGAAGGTTGATTTCTTTCATGATATTGGCCAGTCGGACAGGAAGCTCTTGGCGAAGGAACATGAATGAGGTCTTCTCACAGGCATTGCTGGATCCTAAGCAAAAAAGAAACAGACACAGCAAGACATTATCAATTCTGCATCACTCAGCTAGTATTTCCCTTTCTCGAGACTCCAAAATCATTATGCACTACTGTAATTTCCCACAGGAACAAATTGTTAGAACACATGATTGTAGAGAGAAACTTGAACAAGGGGAGGGTGGAACAGTTTTAAAAGGCATGGGGGGACTACACTGAGATTCAAATATTGTTATTTATTTGATTATAGCTCAACTTTTCTCCAAGAATTCAAGGCTTATATGAGGATTTCCCTTTATCTCCATAATAACACTGTGGGGTAGGTTGGGCCAAGGAATTGATTTGTCCAAAGTCATCCAGTAAGGTTCTGTAGTTGAGAGTGGATCTAAACCTGTATCTCTTCAACACTTCAATCATTACATCACACTAGCTCTTACACTGGCTTTTGGGAATGGATGTTTTACATCTAAAGCACGTCCCTCTTATGGCTGCCACATTGTCTATGTATTTTCCATGCTCCACCAACAGCTTAATTGCTGAGTTCCTTAGTATCTGATCTATATCCTCTCCTGGGATGGAATTTCCATGAGAAAGTTTCTCAATGTTATTCCTTTCCCCTCCCCTATTTTTATATATTCATGGTTTCACAGTTAATACCAATGGAAAAATGCCAAAGCCATATATAAACTGTGCAGCTTCAAAGTTATAATTCAAGATTTTCAACTTTTTTCCACTTTTGTTATATGCAGCCAATGTAAGAGAAGTACATTCTATCTTCATTTTTAAATAACTGTTCCACTTTGAACAATGATCACAATATACTTTGAATATAATACTTTAACTATGCAAGAGCTTTTGGACAATTTTGGACAATATGTAGACAATTTTCCTTTCTGTCTTTTATTTGTTCAAGTAATTAAACAAATGTGTTAAATCAGATCACAGTTCATTCAAGTGAAATTTTTCTGTTTAAGTCTAATTCAAAATTCTGGAAAAACAACAGTGGTGATTAATCTCTGATTTCAATGCATTCCATGCTTTTTGTAAGGGTACAGAATAGCTTCTTGCTGGCTGGCATCTTTCCAAAAGTTTGTTCTGTATGTCTCCAATTGCCTCAGGATGATGGAACTCATAGACCAGCATTTCTGGAGGAGGTTGTCTGAAAAGAAAACTACTATGAGCAGGAAAAAGGAGGCAATTGGATTCAAGGACTAATCCCCTGCAAATTTGAAACCTCTTTTACCCCCCTGTAAGGGCTCAAACTTGAAATACAAGGATTAACTTACAAGCTAAACAAACTCAGCCTGTTTATTTTACAAATGTCTTAAGCGTTCAGAAAATCAGAAGCACTGGGGGGGGGGGAGCTAGTTTAATCCCACAGAAAGCAAGAACCAAGGTTATTTCCAAGGCTGAATCTTAGGGAGCGCTGTGCCTTGTTGGTACAGACCAGCCTTTGCCAACCTGCTAGTCTCCATAATTGTTGCATCAGGGCTCCTCTCATTGCCAGGCAGCAAGGCTATGCTGGCTGAGGATAAGAGGGGGCGTAGAGCCAACATTTCTAAAGGGCCGGGCAAGGCTGGTCTGTACAAACAAGGCATAAAACTGCACATTTCCTTTTAAAGCTAGCATGTAAGCAACTCATCTTGTTTTGAAGGGGAGACTATTCACTGTTGAGCCAGCACACAAATGCACACACATATATAAGCGGAGAATGACAACTAGACACAGGAGGGTATGATCAGCAACGGAACACATGAGTTGAGAGGCTTGGAACTGTGCAGGCAAATGAAACACACGTGAGGCAGTTCTCCCCACCAACTTTCTACCTGACCCCTCCACTAAAACCTACAGCAATCAGATCCCCTTACAGGCAACATATGACATGCAAATGACAACTAGAAAGAGGTGATAAGAAAGGTAATGGAATAAAGGGTGAGAGTTCACCCACTCCACAGGCCCTGTTGCATAGTTTCACCATTCAGATTCCCCAAGTTCTTTATTTAGCAACGCTGCTTGAAAGAGCCTCAGACCCATTCATCACAGTCCAGATAAAGCACTGCAGGAAAATCAAAGAGAGAGAATACGGCTTGGGGGTGGGGTGTTAGAGGAGGGCCTTCATCCCTCTGACACCCAGCTCTTCCAATCAGCACTTGTTGTCCTTCAGATCCTTCAAAGGGCACTGCAAAGCTCCCTCCTCCCAACTCGGCAGCTCAGATCCAATTTGACTGAGCGGTTTTCCTCTGCTTCTCCTCTTTGTAAGTTAAATCTTCTGTGCTCTCATTCTTTCAGCTTAGATCCCCTAATTTGCTTAAATCCCCTAATTAGATCCCCTAATTCAAGTAAACCAATGCAAAATCTGACATGAATGACAATAATTTGGCAACCGTAACTGAGTTTAAGACTTTGTGCACAGAGAAAGTGTACACAGTGGCACACTTGAAAAAGGTGTAGACCTCAACTCCCCAAATTCTTAGCAATGGCCACTGGCTGGAAATACTGAAAGCTGAATTTCACACATCTAGAGGGTGCTCAGGTTGGGAAAGACTGTTGCAGATAGTGTAGTGGTTATGGTGTAAATGTTACAGTCCACCCTCAGGCATGGAAGTCACCAGGTGACTTTCAGCCAGTCATTATCTCTCAGCCCAACTGACCTCCCAGGTTTGCTGTTGTGGGAAAAATTGGAAAGAGTGCCATAAAATATGAATGTAACCTTGAGCTCTCAGAGAAAAAGTGGGATATATATCTTAACAAATTCCCAGTTGCTCTGATCAACCTGGCTAAGGGTGAGGGATACTGAGCTGTAATTTAGCAACACCTGGAGAGCCACATCTTCCCATTCTTGGTGTATGCTTTTATTTCAAACTCTGGTGAGTTACTGGTATTAAGCATTTATAGCAACAGAACCACTGGGTTTACAATCAACTGTCCAGGAGCATGGAGCTAAATGCAACAATTCCTTACACCACATATGCTTACTACATAGAAATCCACTCCTCAAGCTTATGTAATGGGACCTACTAATTTAAACACTGCATATAGTCTTCTACAGACCTCGGAATCATGCCTATGGACTCCAGGGCTGAGGAATCTGCAGCTCTCTGGAGGCTCTTAAATTGTGACTCTCCCTAACCATTTCCTATACTGGAAGCAAACAGAAGTCCCAGGCTATCCTTTTCTGGAATAATAGAAAGTAGGTATGGTGGCAAAATGAGCATTAATATTTTTATTTATTAGATTTATATCCCACCTTTTGCAAGGAGCTCAAGTCAGTGTATCTATCAAGGTGAGTATCTATGTACATCAGTGTTTCTCAACCTTACTGACTTTAAGATGAGTGGACCAACTCCCAGAATTCCCTAGCCAGCATGGCTAGCTGTGGAATTCTGGGAGTTGAAATCCACTCATCTTAAAGTTGCCAAGGTTGAAAAACACTGATATACAGAGATGGAGGCACACAGTCCTTTCTAGGGGGTGTATATTTTCCTGAGATTTCAAATGGGTATGTTCATGACAGTGCATTCTATGACTTGTAGACCATAAGCCTTTATAAACACAAAGTTGACAATGAATTATGCATTAATTATGGGTTGGTTAACAGGTGGTAACTTGGAGAGGACAGAAAATACCAGGGTTGTAGGCTAAGCTGGGAAAAAAAAAAAAAAAAAAAAAAAAATCCTGGGAAAAGACAGAGTTGAATGCAACTTGAGGGCATCTTATGAGAAGGCATAAGAGGAAGATACTTACCAGATGGTATGGAAGATGAACAATAGACTAAATTAGATGGTATATGTTAGCTTCTTGAAAGATTGAGTTAATATGTATTGGATATATTCACATATAGTGTTCCAAAATGGATTAAGCCAAGGGAGAGGACTGATCACTGAGATTTACAGCAAACTAAGAATTTAAACTTTCTGATCCCTAATCTACAGCCTATACTCTAGCTCAAAGATAAGCCAACTGGTACCCTCTGGATTTTTTTGGCTGTACTTGCCCCCAAGTACATAACGTCCAAAATATTCTGATCCCTGGCCATGCTAAATGGCAGCACCACCCAGCTTGCCTACTCTAGTCCTAAGCTGCTAGGATTCTCACCTGGAAATAGAAAACCAACTTTTGGTGATTTGAGCTGAATTTAAAGGGATGGTGTCAAGGAGAGTAAAGGATATATTCCTGCCCAAAATCCAGCAAGATTCATAAAAGGCCCTTGGCAAAATTCTTCTAAGTTATCAATTTCCTGATCTTTTTAACTGGAGATGCCCAGGAACAAACCTGGGGTCTTCTGTTTGCAACATATGTATGTGATCCAACTCCACATTAGGCCTTTTTTCCCCAACAGGTAAGAAGGGGAAGAAAGAAACTGAGCTGAAGAACATTCCTTCATAGATAGATACACCACATTTGAGAAGCCAAATTAAGAAATCATTTGGTATATTCATCCAGAGAAAGAGGTCATCACACTATTTACTTAGTTACCCTGAAGACACAGCAGAAGAAGCACATTGATCAAGAAACAATTTCTAGAGGGGGAGCTGTCACTCTAAATAGCTTATGTCCATTTAAGTTTCACATCTAACCCTACATATGTTTTAAGGAACTTTCATTTCATTACTATTCACTACCTCTTATTTCCATTTCTGTTTCTCTACAGAGCTAAACAATCTATATAAAAATCTCATCCACAAAAGATAATACTGTACGCATTTCATACAACAGGCTCCATACTATTAAATCTAATGCCACAATAAAAACACATTTTTATATTCAAACTTATTGGCAGTCATCCTATTCTATTCAGTGAGACTGCCAGTGGGAAAACATGCATAGGATCATATAACAACATGAACTTTAGAAGTCACAGGGATCTTTTTAGGTCAATCTTGATGAATAATGCTTTGATCTTGATTAGAAAAATGGAAATGGACACTCAATCCATATGAAGTAACAAAGAGGCAACTGGTTCCTCCTTTATGATTTCCAGCTGAATTCTCCCATTTTAACTTAGAGCACACAAGCAACCACCACCAGTAATAAAAACACAACACAGCTACATCCCTGCACTGGCTTTCTTACAACGCCAGTGAACTCCGTGGGGTTTAGCCTAGAGCGGGCATGTACAGGATTGCACGGAAAAGCAACTTTGTTTGAAAGTCACCGCGACTCTAAAACTCCCCAGAAGCCAATGACCTGTGAGATAAAAAGCAGGCGAGCTAATACAACGATCAAAAGTCCTCCCAGAAGGAAGGGAGGAGGGAGGGAGGGAGGGAGGCTGTTTCGGGGCAACCACCCCAACCTATCACCCCTAAAAGCAAAAGAGCTGCCGGGGAGATCGGACAAAGGGGCTCAGTTAGGATTTCGCGTCTCGCTGGTGAGAGAAGCCAGACGGCTTCGGCCACCCTTGCCCCGACTCGGCCCCCTTCAGAAGCTCTGGACCGTCGCTCCCATCGTCCCAGTCCAGCAAGAACCAGGCTGATGGTGTGCATGGGAAAAGCGAAGGGGGGTGGTGGTGATGGCTGGACTCCACCTCCCAACATCGCCCTGCAAGTCGGCAGGGTCCCAGGGTACGCCGGGCGGGAAGGATGGGGCTTGTAGTCCAACCCATGCGAGAAGCCGGCTGCGCGGACCTCTCCCTTCATCGGCTCGCGTCCCCCTCTCCCTCTCTGGCTCCCACGCACCGAAGTCGAGGAACTGCTTCATGGAGAGCGGCGACGGGGAGAACTTGCTGAAGTGCTCGATGTACTTAGGCGCCCCGGCCAGCGCCGACTGGCCTTTCATCAGGCACCGCAAGAGACGCATCGCGGCCCCGCCAAGGCTCTACAGGCCA